CAATTAATATATCAATCACCATTCATAATTAATTTTGATCACAATTAATGTACCAATCACCAATCACAATTAATATATCAATCACCATTCACAATTAATGTAGCAATCGCAATTTTGATCGGTAGATTAATTGTTTGTGATATCATTGTTACAAATTCAAACAATGTTTGTGAGAGGTAAAATATGTCAAATGAGGTGTCATTGGATAGATCTCGAAAAGTTATATGAAATAAAATAAAAAATATCTAATTTGGATTTCCGAATCAAAAGTTATGGCCCTCCGAAGTGATTGGTGATTGGTACATTAATTGTGATTGTTACAATCAAAAGTTAATCCTATTTGTACACTAATTGTGATTGACACATTAATTGTGATTGCTAATTGGCACATTAATTTTGATTGGCACATTAATCAAATTGCCATTTTCCTTCATTTTCTGTGTTTTATTGTGATTGATACATTAATTCTGATTGTGCCACGTGGCACCTAGTTCGCTTGGACCTTCAGCGATCTTGGTGCATGTCAGTCACGTGGCACACCTAGTTCGCTGCCACATGCAGCGAACTTCTTCAGTATGTCAGCATTTATTGCAACATAGTTCGCTATTGAGAGTAGCGAACTTGTTGTCCACCAGAAACGTGTCACGTCAGTAAATCAAGTTCGCTGGGCACGGTAACAAACTTGCCCGTGTGACATATTAAAAAATAATACTATTCACGTGACATTTAGGTAAAAAAGTCAGTTTGATCATTGCTATATATACCTAGATCTTGAGCTTATAGATAAAATTTGGAGTATGAGCACCTATATTGAACTTGGGACCTACCCATGCGTGAGCTACCTTTTTACATGATAACGTGACGTGAAAATTTAACGAGAGAGAACATAATAATTTTTATTGCTACGCAATGAACCGAATACAAGTGTTTTCCAAAAACAAAAAAAAAATTGAACCGAATACAAGTGGACTTCATTTCAATGGTTACATGATCTTGTATGTCAGAAAATTAATGGGCCGCAATCCTAAAGAAAGAGATCTTATACAAGGTTAGCTGACCATTAATATGTCGGTAGGAGACACGTCAATATGTTGGTGCAACCAACACACACAGACAGACACGGCATCTTTTAAATAAAAGATATAACAAAAAGGGAAAAGTATATAGAAAAAAAAAGTTGAAAAATACGTAAGACTATATAAGAAAATTATCTGGCATATTTAATAGGAAAAGTGTGTGTGACGTAAATTATCTCATTTAATAAACATAAAAAGATTTGGTCTCTTTGACAGTGTGCTTCCTCTTTAAATAGACTGACAAAGATAAACGTGGACTACAGCTTTGCAAGTGGATGTAAATATTTTTAAGGAAAATATTTTATTTTATGTAACATGAAAAAAGTGAATGGAATTTTTTTTAACGAGTTTCATTCATATTTTTATATATTGTATAAGATAAAATTATTTCATACAATATTAAAAATATATTTCTCTATTTTTAATTACTTTTTGCAAAAAATAAAAAAAGTCGTTACAAATTTTTAAACTTTAACCATTATTTACGGAGCATGAAACAATATCTTATTTTTACAATTATTACGATAAAATTAATCCTCAGACACTGTTGTAATTAACAAAATTAAAATACAAGTTATCAAGCAGTAACTTAAGTTTATAATGTTTCCTCTCGAGCCATAAAAACTTTGCTATACTCCTGTACATATGTTAATCAGGAAAAAAATTTAATCCCTTCGTGGCTGAACAAACCCATACAATTCATACTGCTAGAGAAAAGGTGAAGATTCTTGGATTAAATCATGGCAAAACCCAATCACTATAATATTTTACCATAATCTATTATTGTATAGTAATAAGTTTAATTCATTTTTAGGTTCTTAATTTTTGTTTTTATTTTGTACATTAGGTTCTTAATTTTTGGAAAAAAATTAAATGAGCTACTTGAGGTCCTATTAAGGGTATCAGATATGGAAGTTTTTCTAATTCCGTGACTTGAGAAGTTACTATATCCTTATGTGTTTTATTGGCAATGTAAATGTTTTTATTTATATCATTAATTATAGGAAGTTATTAATCTTATATCACATAAGTATCTTATGTGGGTGAAATAAAGTTATGGGTCCATAATTTTTAAAAAAATATAAAAGAAAAATAAATGGACACAACATTTTATGAGTGTGCAACATAAAATAGTTGTCTTACGTGATATGAGACAACTATTTTCCATATTATATGTTGGGAAAAGTGTGTATCATTTTAAAGGATATAAAGTTATGTCATTTTAAGTGAGAGAAAGAGATAAATCATAGGAGAGAGTGGAGGAAAAAAATTTAAAAATGTGAATCTCACCACTTTATAAAAGTGAAAGGATATAAGGTGTGTCATTTAAAATGACACACCTTTTCCCCTTATATGTTACTCATATCGGTTACAAATTAGGGATGTTCATCAACCGATCCAAATAGATTCAAACCGCGGTAACCGAACCAAAAAACCGATAACCGAATAAACCGAAAACAAAAAAAAACGAAAACAAAAAAAAATCGCAAATTTTAATTGGATTGGATCAGTTTTTGGATAGGTTGATGAAAACCGATCCAATCCAAACCGATCAAATATATTAATCCTCCACTACTTATTTGGGTCTTTTTCTAATCATAGCTTAAAAATTTCTAAACTCAAGACCCATTAACCTATCAACTAAACTCAAGAAAAAATCTAGTCACATCTCATCAACAAAATTTTATCTTTGTAGAGCTTCATATCTTATTGCCTAAATAAAAAAAACTATATTTAATTTACTAATGCTTTTGTATTTTAATTTTTTTTACAAAGTCAATAAATACAAAAGTCGTTAATTGCACAATAATCATGAAATAAATTTTAGGATTTTCAAAAAACCGAAAACCGATCCAATCCAAACCGAAAAAAATTGGATTGGATCGGATCAGATTTGAAAAACAATCCAAACCGAATGGATGATTATATGATCAAACTAAAGGAATTTGATCGAATGATTTTTGCTTTCAAAATCGATCCAATTCAGACCTAAAACCTATGTAGCACCGATACCGACACGGGACACGAGACACGACACGACACGACACTCTGACACGTTAATTCTAAAAAATGTTAGATTTCGATACGTTAGGACACGTTTTGATATTAAATAATATTTTTAATTTATGTAGTGTATATTATATTTAATATTCAATAATTTAACAAAAAATGAAACTAAAGTTATAATATTCATCAATTTTGCAAAGAAATATAATATATTATATTAAACTCAATAAAATTGTAATCGTAATCCAACGAATTTAATAGTTGGAACCAAAAACTCAACGCAGTGCAACCTTATATTTTTTTTTTTGAATTTCTATAACGCGTGTTGGAGTGTCGGGGAGTGTCGGAGTATCGGAGAGTATCGGGAAGTGTCAGACACGACACGTCAGGATTTTTGAAGTGTCGGTGCTTCCTTGCCTAAAACACCCCTATTACAAACTTACAACACTAAAAATGTAATTTAAACAAGAGATAATAATAATAATTTTATCAAATTGACGTGACATGCAATTGACCATAAAAACAAACAAACTTGCTAGTCGAAAAGCACCTTAAAAATATCTGGTAAGTTACATTCAAAGCTAGCTTAGTAGCCTGCTAAATATCGGATGCAGAGTAGTCGTTATCTGTTATTAATAAGGACATGTCAACTAATGCTAATTAGTAATTACTTAACAATAACAAAGCATAAAATAAGATTTATGGTTTTTCAAAAAAAAAAAAAAATGTAAGCTATGTGCTATGCTTCAACTTGAGCAACAATGTAAGAGAAAAACAAGCAAAGTTATTCACTGGAGAATTTTTAGTTTTAGTTTTTAAAATATACTACAGCCATGTAAATAGCTGAAATATATTGATTTTTGTATAAAAAAAGACAAATAAAGGAGATGAGAAATTGAGAACAACCTAGTAAGAGAGTGTGTGTTAAGGGAATGACATGAATGTGTATGAAAATGTTGTTGAGGTGGATGAACAGTGACTGGCAAATTCAGAGGATCCAAACCCGATAAAGAAATATCATTCTGTGCCACAAAGTTTTCTGCTTTTCTTAACTTTATTCTAATTCATCAGTAGTTGCTATAGTGCTGGTACATGCTTCTGTGCTTTCTTCATTCTCCTTTTTCTATCTCTTTCTGTCCCAACCCAACTCAACTCATTGATTTCTTAATAGTTCTGTCTTGGTACTTTTCTATTTCAACAATCTTCCCATCATTTATTTGTTCTGTGGTGCTCTTCCAAAAGTAAAAAAAAAAAAAAAAACTTTTTTCTTGAATTGTTGGTTGTCAGAGAGTTTTTTTCCACCTTCAAGTGAGAATGCACAGAATTATGAGTTGTGAACTCTTATTATTCATTTACTGGTCCTATTATCATCTGGGTCTGTCTTAATTATGGACTCTACCTTCTGTTTGATCTTTGATTATTGCTTATTTCTTTTTCCTCCCACTGTTGATTAATTTGATATTCATTTCTTTGCCGAATTAAGATATTAAATAAATATTAAGATATAAAAAATAATTCAAGATATAAGAAATTTCCATTTTTTTTTGTTAAAATATTCTATATCATTATTCCATTTTAAAGTCTTCTTCCTAGTTCAATGCTTGAATATTATTCCCTTATGATTATCTTTCTTCAGAACTACGATTGGCACGTAGAATTGCTAAAGTTATGCTTCATTTTTCTCTCCATTTAAGTGTGTCTTGCATTTGCACATATTCCCTTGTTTCTACTTTCCTTTTGTAAATGAAAGATTCTTAATTTTTAGTGGACACATTAGATTTGTGTTTTGGCATCATGAATTGCTTTTCTTTGTTTATGCTGCTTTTGAAATTGCATGGCATATTATCCAATGACATCCAGATTTTCTTTTCTTTTACTTCTTTTAAAACTAATGCTTGTTTGTTCAATTCAGATAGGAATGGGAACAAATCTCAGCATTCCGAAAACTGAAAAGTTTTCTGAAGATGGTGAAAATGACCGTCTTAGATATGGCTTATCATCTATGCAAGGTTGGCGTGCAACAATGGAAGATGCAGTGAGTAGTCACTGGAAAATTTGTTAGCTTATTAAATTGAAAATCTTTTATGGATAAATCCTGAATTCTTTAAAGTGAATAGCCCCACAATGTCATGCTATTGTCTAATATAAGGTTACTAGCAGTGATAGAGTAGAAGTATGCAATGTTAGCGAACTGAATAGTTGAGCTTTGCCTAATGTGTTTGTTGGGAGATGGTGGTGTTCTAGGGGATTAGAAGATTTGATTTTATCTTTTGTTCTCACGTGATTTTGATCCAGTTTATTGCGTTTTCTGGAATAAATGTGTATACCATAATTATGCTTTTAATTTTGTATTTTGGAACTCTTTTCATCTTATTTGTGTTGCTTAGATTGCTCTTTGTTAAACCTTTGATATGCCATTGACCTTTTCTCTCTTTTCTTTTGCTAGCATGCTGCACATCTTGATCTGGATGCGTCCACTTCGTATTTTGGTGTTTATGATGGTCATGGAGGTAAGATTTGAACAAGTCTGGCCATTTGGAAGGATGGCTGAGTGCCAGTTTTACTACTTTATTACAGATGACTTCTTTGTGCATGTTAAAATGACTTGTCTTACTTTTTCTGTTTCAATTTTCTCTTCTGAATTATTTCTCACCCTCTTATCCCCCTTGACCCCTATTACCCTATAATAAGAAAAAGATAACTTGGATATGATATATTTTAAAAAGTAAGAGATAAAAAACCACTCCCCAATTAAACCCGACTAGCGAGTGCGGAGTGAGGGCAATCCTTGTATGCAGCCCTTAGAAACAGAAAACCGAAACAGAAATTCTCTCCAAAATCTCTGAATATTCACAACCGAGACACTGATGCAAAAACTGCTCCCAATTGTTCAATTTGCTTATTTCTTATTTCTGTAAATTTTCTTTTTTCTTTTCATAGAAAGTCATCTAGTTAACTTTATTACTTTCTTGTCATCAATTTTTTCAGTATTTGAAGCACAGTTTGAAGTTATTTCTTAATAATTAATTATTGTACTTTAATTTGGGTAACTGTGACTGAACTAAAACTTATGTAACATATGTGAAGACCTTAACACACTCCATATTTAGTGCAACTCCCATACCTTGATTCAGATTAAACCTGCAAGCTTCCATCTATTGTTAATTGGTTGTTCTGCTGTGCATCTAAATTGTGTGTTCTTATGATCTATACATCATATAATGTTGTACTTTTTTTTCCAGCTTATCATTTCAAACTAATAGCTGCTGGTTCACCTTTTAGATTATTTACTGGTAGAAATTGTGCAGCTCATGCACATCCATGCTCCTCTACTTGTTGCCTTAATTTTTAATGCTGGGGTGCATATATGTCTAATACAAATATCAACGATTCCAGCCAGGCAAAGAGGAGAATGCTACAAAATTTTGTGTAGTCTTGTAATCAGCAATATGTTATGGATGCTCACTTAGCCCCAAAATTTTCAGGTAAGGTGGTTGCCAAGTTTTGTGCCAAGTATCTTCACCAACAGGTGCTCAAGAGTGAAGCATACATAGCTGGAGATGTAGGAACCGCCCTTCAGAAAACATTTTTCAGGTTAGAATAAAAAATAGGCCCCCCTGTGTTTAAAATTTAAAGGTGATTCCTTTGTTGGGTATTCAGCAATCAAGTGACTGAATTTGGTTTCATGCTTGTATGCACTCAAATCTTTGTTCTATTTAAAGTCTAAAACTTCATTTTGGATTGTCAGCTCAATTTTCAGCTTTGTAATTCACTAATTCTTATTCTAGAATGCGTCTCTTTAATATACAAAGGGAGTGTAGTTTCCCGTGGTCTTACTCAATAGTCCTTCAGGGGTGTTCATCTTTTTGTAGTAGCGAATTATAGCTCACTTGCTAGTTAATGGTCATGGTTAAGCACATTTTTGAATTTATTGTGTTTCATTAAAATTACAGAAGTAAAGAACATATATGTGTTTGTCTCCTGTTAAAATTTATATTGTAAAAGAAAAAGTGATCACTAGTTCCTCATTCATACATTGTTTCTCCCACTACGCCCCTCGGCCCTCACCCAAAACACAGGGAAAAAAAAGAGTTATGAACTAGCATTTTCATTATTATGCAGAATGGATGAGATGATGCGCGGTCAAAGGGGATGGAGGGAATTATCAGCCTTGGGTGATAAGATAAACAAGTTTAATGGGAGGATAGAAGGATTGATTTGGTCTCCACGTAGCTGTGATGGTAAAGACCAAGGTGATGATTGGGCCTTTGAGGAGGTAGGTTTGACGTTTGAAGGATTTTTAAACTGTTTTTTTTTTTTTTTTATTACTTTTCAACATCATAGCTTTCATGGGAAATACTTGGTCCATTAGTTCCTGGCATATGGTTTTATAAGTGAAGAAATATCATGTTCATGGATTATACAGTTATGTTTCTCCATATGTTCTGGTTTTCTGTGTGTGTATAAAATTTTAGTTTTCTTTGCATCTCCCTTTTTCTTTTCTGGTTTCTTTTTGTTGATATTCTGTAATTTGATCTTATATATTGTAAGCAGGGGCCTCATTCTGACTATGCTGGACCAACTTCAGGAAGCACTGCCTGTGTTGCAATTATTAGAAACAATCAACTTTTTGTTGCAAATGCTGGTGATTCACGTTGTGTAATATCTAGGAAGGGTCAGGTATCTTCAGAATGGAAATTCTATGATTTTTATCATTTTAACTGCTGGCATGGACATATATGTACACCACATTCTGTGTTTTTTATGACTCACTCCTGTACATTGGGAAACAATGCATGTCTTTTAACTTGACTGGTTAAATTCATTAAGGGGACTTGTTTGAATACATTGAAATTGCTTGTCTCTTTCTCTTGTAGACTATATATATTTAATTTTTGAAGTAAAAGATCTTGCAGATAAACATTTTTTTATTATTATTGGCATTTTTCTACAGGCATACAATTTGTCTAGAGACCACAAACCTGATCTTGAGATTGAGAAGGAAAGAATCTTAAAGGCTGGTGGTTTTATTCATGCAGGACGAGTTAATGGGAGTCTAAATCTTGCAAGAGCTATAGGTACTTGATTACCGCAAGTGAGCTTTTTCAAATGTTAATTTAAGCTTCCGTTTCGCAATTTTAACTTGAGTGCATGTCCCGGGCCACTGCATCTTTATCCATGAATTGGTGAACATGATAAATGATAACTAAGTGTACCAACAATGAAAGGATTCTTTTACTGTGTATGCTTTATTGTGGTTGTTTACAAGGCAAGAGGAGGTTCCTCTGCATGTGGGTTGGTTTCAAATTGCATAATTGAAGTTTTCAAATATGTATATCTGTTTCTTCTGAACAATAGTTTCTTTGTGAAGATGCATTTATTTGGGATTTTGGGGGTGGGTTGGATTGGTGATGGTTTCTTCTTATTCCATTCAATATGTTTCACTATTCTGCAGGTGACATGGAATTTAAGCAGAATAGATTTCTTCCTGCTGAAAAACAAATTGTGACCGCTAATCCAGATATAAACACTGTAAGTTTGTTCCTGTACTATTTGCTGACTTTAAGTGATTGATAGAATCCATCAACCACAGCTTCCCAATTGCAATGTGATAGAACCCAAAATAAATACTTGGTCAAGAGTCTCAATACTTGCTGCAATTGTAAGCTTTCATCTTTTAGTATTAATCTGTTGTGACTGAGAGATTTTGTTTTTGACATTTTATTATAGGTTGACCTTTGTGATGAAGATGAATTTATAGTACTAGCTTGTGATGGCATATGGTATGCTTTCATATACCTATTTTGGTTCTGAATGTTATTATGTATTTGGAAGATATCACGGTCATTTGCATTAAGATGTAATAACTGATGGAATTTTGATTTTAGGCATACTAGCCTACTAGGTAGACAATATGTACCTTTTTTTGTGGCACAGGAAAAATCATGCCTAGATGAGCCAATTACTCTGACATGTGGTTTAAAAAATTTGTGTTTCTAACTTTAGAAATTACACAAAACTGACCTAAAGGGCAAACTGGTGCATAAGACTCCCCGACTTGTGAGGGTGAGATTGACTGTAGGTAGTCTTACCCTTGTATCTTGCAAAGAGGTTATTTCCAATATTCTAACCCGTGAGCCAATCACAAGGAGCAACCTTACCACTGCTCCAAAGCTTACCCTCAATCGACCCTCATCCATATCCTCACAAGTCAGGGAGCCTTGTGCGACGGGATTTGCCCTTTTACACAAAACTGCCCTATTTTTTATTTTAATCCACAAGAAGGTTTAAAAACCTCATGCATATACCCTGAGGTTGCCGGGGGCGGGTTTGTATATTAAAAACTACAGGCCTTTGCATTGGTTAGTTTTAGTTTACTAAAATATTTTTAACACATAGGTCAGATGGCCCCTAAACACTGCCTTGACACATAGGTAACTGTCATGTCTTGGAAATTCTTGAGTGGTTGATTTATTTCCTTCTTACTGCCTCATGTTTAAATCCCTGAATTTGTTTGATGGTGTCTATTACTCATTGAGCTTTTTCAGGGATTGCCTGTCAAGCCAACAATTGGTAGATTTTGTACGTCAACAACTGCTCTTGGTGAGTTTTAAGTTATGAAATTTTTCTAATACTAATAAGATGGTGAAGTATTCAATTAATAATTACCTATTATATTTACCTAGAGATTATGCATATTTATGATATTTAATGCAGCACTTGGTACTGTCATGGAGAAGAATTTTTACTTGTACTTGTATTTTGTTGGATAGAATTGACATTGCATGCTGCTGGATAACATATCGAGGTCTTTTTTTTTTATTTGTTTACTTTTTTAACCGTTTGTCACATAATGCACTTTTCTAGGGTAGATCGTGTTGGAAATCGACAATCACACAAATCGCGAATGAAAAAGAGAAAGAGAGAGAATAGACACATTGATTTACCCTGATTCACCCAATTTAGGCTACGTCCAGCTTGTCTATACTATATTCATCTCACCGCCATTCGTTACAAGTCACTCGGTTTACAAGGAGAATATAAATAGGATTACAAAAATCCTAACAGCAGCTATTCATGGGCTCAAGCCCAAACTGCTAAGAAAATAAAAAAATTACAATAGATTAGAGGCCTACAACAATACATAGCCTCTACGGGCCTAGGGGCGCTGTCTTTCTGCTGACCCCGACAACAAGGGCTCTCATCAACATACGAAGTATGAGCCATACCCAACAGATCATGCTTTTAGGAATTTGTTTCTGGTAAAAATAAAATCAGTAATAGGCTATAAACTTTTATATAATCTTTTATACAGTCTATAGGTTAGTATTTTGTGCTTGAATTTTCTATTCAAGTGGTGTCTACTTGGTTAATGATTCAAGTTATTATTTTAATGTAGTTGGGCTGAAATGTGAAACAGAAGTTTTGACATGATTCCATTTTATCCCACAGGAAACAAAACTTTCTGCGGTTTGTGAAAGAGTATTAGATCGGTGTTTGTCACCATCAATTGCTGTTGGTGAGGGATGTGATAACATGACCATGATCTTGGTGCTGTTCAAGAAACCGGCTCAGTCCAGTGCTCCAGCACAAGAACAATTCTCTTCAAATGAACAAGCTGCATCTGAACCAAGACTTTGAGAGAAATGGAAGTTAATAGGTTTTGAAGAGAAATGGATCTTTTCATCTGATTTAACATATCAAGTCATGTGAGAGGATTTTAAGAGTTTATAGACAAATTAACAGTAATTAGAGATGAGAGACAAAAGGTGTTGGTAAAAAAATTTCCTCACATGATTGTGTTAAATCATACATGAGAGGATTCATTCCAACAACATAGAATATAGTGTGGACCACTGCTTAGAATATGTGTGTATGGTTGTTTTCACTTTCAACTAGCCTTTTATAAAGCCATTATTCTCCCCCAGAGTATGTTATGCTTGTTCAATAAGCGGCTCCAAATGTCAGTCTTTGTAGTTATTAGTAACAATCTGGGGGCATTCTGTGATGGTTAGCTAGTTGCTATTTGTTAATTGCAGGGATTTTGGCCCCAACATAGGATATTTGTATATATGATATATATCTCATTAAATGACCCCTGTCATGTGAGGGTCTCACATGATAGGATTTAAGGGAGACTGAAGTTGAATTTTCATGGATATGTTTGACATGGAAGAGAGAGAGAGAGAAAGAGATTATTCTATTTTTAAAATAAAAGAATAAGAGTTTTTGTGGAGTGTAAATAAGTTGAGCAAACTTGTGGGGAAAAAAGAGAGACTGTTTAAACTTGGTTTATTTGTTAAACGAAATGAATTTAAAGTTTGATTTTTTTTCTCCTTTATAAGATTTATTCTTTAATAATTTTTAAGTTTATTAATTTATAATCGATATTTGTATGCCATGAAAAAAAGTAGAAATAGAAACATAGGCTTTTTATGTATTCATGATACATTATTTAGATATTTTTACTTCTTAAAAATAGATTGTTTTTATTTTGGTAAGTACTAAGTTCTACCCTCAATAATATCTTTTTCATCTTAAGTAGAGCTAATCACTTGTATGGTAACCATGTGTTTTTGTATTAACTTATCTTATGGATTCATACATGAGGCTCATTTATTATCATGCCTAACAAGGGACAATCCAAACATAATTTTGATATAATTAAAAGAGGATATACATCAAAGATATCAATCCTAATACGATAGTATTAAACATGAGTTTCAGCTGCTAGAAGAGGCATAAAAGGTCCAGAATCTTAATACCCACAGGTATACTCTATAAATAAGAGGTAAAGTCTACATGTAAGGATTATTCTCTCTTTATTATTGTTATGTTGTCACTGTTCACACACACCACTCCTTTGGTGAAAGTTGTCTTTTATTTCTTATGCACAATGATCTACTAAATTTAATGGTATTTAATTCATAGATACCTTAAAGAAAGCACCTAGATCCAAAGTAATTAACTAGTCTATTGGACTAGACATCTCTGCCTTTGAGACAGAACAACTTATATACACAACATGGATTGTTGTGTAAAATCAACTTTTGAAGGGATAAAAAAACTCTAGAATATACCTTTGTATAAAATTATAAAATTTTCATTGAACTTTTATTGTACATATTAACGAGTTAAAGTTGGATAATTCACGAATATGTTAAATTAATTTGCAATCCTAATCGTTATTGCTCAAGGTTTAAAAAGTGGTTTCAAACAGTGTTTTAAAACTCCACTCCGCCCCCAGTTTGACCCGGGTCAACCCTGGCTCCTCCTCTCTGAGAGGGTTGGGGTCACAAGTTGGACCCTATATATATATCGACCCCTCCTACCCCTAAAATCCGGTCGAGTTTCAATGACTCCCGAGTCAGAGGGTCAAGGGGGATCACTACATTTTTTTTAAAAAAAAAAATCCATGAAATAATATCATTTTATTAAAAAAATAAAATAAAAATGCTTGCAAACCTAAATCTAATCGTTCTCTTCTCTCCTAGCGACCTAGACGTCTTCAATATTCACCTCGCTGCCGTGAATCTTCTAGAAAAGGTAAGAATTTTACCCATTCAAATAAAATCCTTACTGTCGTCGACGAAAATTAAACAAAATCTCATTCTTACTTCCTTTAAAATTTCTTTGTCAGGGAACTTCTCAAAAGAGACAGAACCGGGTCAACGTAGTGACCCCATTAGAATATGAGTTTTGTATTTTGGTATCTTGATACTTTAATAGGTTGTGTAATATTGACTTGTGGTTGTAATTGGTGAATCATGTTAAGTATATTTTGAATCTTTAATGATTGGTGGTTTATTTTTTAATATTTTCATATAGGATATATATATTTTTCTTTTTTTAATATATAAAACTGGGTCAGCGTAGTGACCCCATGACCCCCCGGTTAAACCCGTGACCCCTGACTTCGGCCGGGTCGATGGCCGAGCCGGATTTTTAAACACTGGTTTCAAAAACGTTTTGAGTTAGTAACAAAATAATTTGAACACCTTATAGAATGTCATGGAACCAAACCTAACTTTTTGAAGAGTTGAACATATAGACCTATTGGGCTTGATTCCATCAAACAACTTTGTGTTGTACATCTCAAACATTTTAAAAATTGAAGATGAATGATATTTGGGTTTTTTTTAAGAAAAAAGATACATGAATATTTTTAGTACATCAATAAAATATATAAATTAATGTGGATTTAATTTTTTGATGCATTGTTAGTATAATTTTTTTTTACACTATCAATCAACCGTGCCACATAATTAAAAAATTTAAATTTCATAACAAACACATTAAAAGTCATATTTGTCAAGGACGTGACAATAAGTGATTGATTAATAAAAAACTTCTTAATAATAATGTATCAAAATTAAACTATCAAATATATTTCGAAATGCCATACTTATAAGGAACAAGTCAATGATATGCAAAATAAGCTTTTGTCTTGCTTCAAATCAAAATGCTTTAAAATTAGATAAATTTAGGCGGCAAAAAATTAAAATATGACAATTTAAATAAGAAATTACGAAAGCGTAACAATTAAAAATCAATTTACGGATCTAAAACAACCAGTCGCGTCCAAAATAATTGTGACTGATCGCACCCAAATAAAGCACATTAAGGTGCTTGGTCATAAGGATGGCAAAAATGAGTCAACTTGTAACCCGCATAAAATGTGGCAGGTTGGGTTGACAAATATGAGTTGACAACCCGAGTCAGTCTGACCTGAGCCAGCTGAAAAACTGAGCCAACCCGCGGGTTAAACGGGTCAGCTCGCGGGTTATCCTTTTTTTATTTATTACAAAAAACAAAAACAATAAATTTTTGCACCTTTTGTGATGTATTTTGAGTTGTTGCTTTGGTCTTGTAACTTGTTAATTTAATTATACTCAACAACTAAATATCTTATATAAGTGTTTTCCTTTGCAGTAAATATCTTATATCAAATGAAAATCATTTCCTTAACTTCCGCACCACATGTACTAGATGAGTGTGACAAAGGCTATTTTTTCGAGCCAACTCTAACTCGGCTCGGGTCAAGTTAGGTTGGGATTTTTAACTCCTTTTTTTTTTAGCCAACCTTAACCCGACTCATTTTTTTCGGGTTACAAACGGGTTGGGTCGGATCGAGTCGGGTTGGCCCATTTTGCCAACCCTACTTGGTCACACCCAATCTAAGTGTCAGAATTTCGGAATGCCATAAGTTTTAACTCGAGTGTTAGAATCAGGTTTTTTTTTTAATCCGCATAACTTTTCGAGATCTACGCAGTGACATCTCATTGAAGTGGATTTCGTAAAAAAAAGAATTCCAACTTTTTTTCGAATTTGCAATAATGGTGCTCCCACAAAAGCATTTTCTCCCAAAAAATTTCAAAAAAAGAAAAACATACATTTATTTGCTAGGAATGTTTCTAATCATCACAGTGGTTTCCTCTCCATCCACACACATAGCAACAAAGGACAACAACAACAATGTTTCTTCTTACTAAAGCCCCAGAGTATTGATCTTGTTGCTAAAAAACCATTAGTTGAGACGCGAACAATGGCGAAAAAGGAGTGCCAAATTGCTAGCTAGGGTTAATGGAAGTTGGTGGAACCATTGTAACGGGTAATAGACACAAATGATGAAGTTGGCGAAAAAGATGAAGAGACGAGGAAGTAATACTATTGAAGATATAGGGAAATGGGGAAACTAGGCCAAGAAATCGATGGCACGTGCTGCAGCTCAGCTCATCATGTTGGTTTGGGGGCTTCTAGGTTTAAACGCTCTTGTGGTTATGACACCATTGTTGCAAATTCAAGCTGTGTTTATGGGAGACAAAACTTTAACTTAAATAACATCATTCACATTCGCAATGATAAAATGTGCCAAACGAAGTACAAGGAAGCATTTTATGAAATTTTTTGACCAAATCCTCTTTGGGATCAAAAAAGTTCCAGCGTATAGATCTCAAAAAGTTACGAGAAAACAAAAAAGAATAATCTCATTCGGATACTCGAATCAGAAGTTATGGTTTTTCGAAATTTACGGTAAAACTGTTGACTTTTGACTGTCATGTGTCATTACCGGGTGAGTCGCGCCCCGATTGGGAGCGACCAAGCACCCTAAAGCACCTTATTTGAGCGCGACCGGCACACCAATTTTGGGCGTGACTAATTGCTATAGATTCGTAAATTGGTTTCAAAATACTACGTTCTTGTAATTTCTTGTTTAAATAATAATATTTTATTTTATTTTTGCCAAATTTAGGCTCACCGCAAGTAACATAACTTTTTTCTGCTATTTGTGTTATTAAATTTGAACTAATCATCAACTTGATCGAGGGTATCAGATCAATGGATTATCGATTATTGATTGAACCGATTAAACTAAATTTATGAAAAGAAATGTAATAAACATATAAATAAAAATAATATGATATTCAAAGCAATGTTATTAAAACTGGCCCGGCCATTGACCCGGTTGAGGTATTGGGTTACTGGCTCACTGATTCAACCAGTGGGTCACTGGCTCAACCGCATGACCCGTTAATTATATGCAGTTCTATAATTTATATTAAAAAATTATAAACATACTCAAATATCTAAAATAAATGATACAAATTTCAATTGTTTTAATATAAAAAATAATAAATCACACATTATTATCCAATAAATGATCAAACAAAAATATAATGATCGTGATATGGGGCTTTAGGTTCAGTAAACGACATCTCTATCTATAAATCAAATTAAAATTTTCCTGCATAGTGCATAATTGAGATAATATTAGTGTTGTAGGTATATAACCTATGTAAGTCAATAAGTCAAAAAGACTCAAATATGTCCATTATGATTTTATTTTTTTGAAAAAATAAATTAGAAATTTTTTTTTGGGACCGGGATGGGTCGCATCGATTCTGATGCATGGCCAGTATATTCCTTCACCTGAATCGGTTATATGACCGATTTACCAATTCACAGGTCGACTTGCCCGGGCCGGTCTGGTTTTATTAACATTGATTCAAAGTAATGTGAGTGATTAGCATTGTATTATCTCCCCTCACCTGCACCGATTAATAATTCGAATTTCTTTTCAAAAAATTAAG